AACAAAACAGTGAAATGTCAAATCTGTGTAGTTATCAATTTTTTTGTTTTGTTTTGTTTTGTCAAATGTGTAACTAGACATCCCATTTTTCCTTCAATCACTAAAAGTCAACTTTGTGCCCTATCAAATTTTATTTTCATTTTTTTGAAAGACCCAATTAAAAGTTCCTTGGTAGTAGTGGCAAAATCTAACCTGGTCAAGTGTTGATAAAAAAAAAAGTCCTCGTCCCATCATATCATAGCGATTATAAAGAAAAAACTGATATTTTGGGACATTTTCATAAATAGTTATTTTACATGTCAATGTTTGGCGGTATCTGCTTAGATATTACCAAATTGCTATAAGTCACGAGTGTTATAGTTGTTTAATGCAAACAAAAATTCACATAACTCCAAAGGAAGAAGATGTGCTGGTTCCCTTTAAAATTTGAAATCGTTTTATTTATTTTTATATATGAATTGGAAGTCAATTTATAACTTCCGGATTGCTTTTTAACGGATGTAAAGAAAAACACCATTCACATCACACAAATTGATACCATCAAAAAGAAAAAAAAAACAAAAAGAAGCAAATAAACAAAATAAAAGAGAGATAAAGAAGAAAAATTACCCAGGAACCATAGGATAATTGGACATTCCAAGATCATTTTTGATCTGGTGAATATCAGTATGGCAAATTCCACAGCATATAACCTTTATGTACACATCATCTGCTCCTGTGCTCCTATTTACAAATATCCAAGATTCAAAATTTCAACAAAAATATATTTGTTCAATGTATAACACTTTGAGAGATATAATCAGTATTTTCTTATAACAGTAGAAGAGAAGAAACACAAAACCTTAAAGTGTAGGAGTAAGGAGAGAGGTGACCAGAAGGATCTCTTGCAGCCCATCCTAAAGCCTTCTTTTCTCCTCCTTCTAAACTTCCCATTTTCTTTGTTTCTCTTTGTTTTTTCTTCTTAGTTTTGCGGAGAAAAAGAGGGTTGAGAGATGATTATGGGTAGGTCTAGGGAAAACATGACTATAAAGGCACTCTAGTAGTGACATATGTATATACAAACTAAATGGGGAAATAAAAAATTAAATACCAAAAAAGAGGAGGAAAATTGGAATATATTATTTAATTTTAGGTGGGCAACTCTTTTTATAGAGATGAGATAATCGAACCAAACGAAACTTAACCGGAAAATCTTGATTTTAGTTTGATAAGTTATTTTTCTTAGACCGAATCAAAATTAAATCAAAAAGCAGTAAGAAACACACGAAGCCAATTAAGTCGGGAATACATTTCATTACATCATATTTTTGGTCAACTCAATTATAAAACCAAACAAAAACCGTAGCGAAAGTAAGTTAGGTAGAAACTAAAACCAACAAGCAGTGCAGTTACAAACAACGAAGTACTGAATATAAGATTAAGTAAAATGTGGACCACGATATGCCTAATTTAAATATAGTCGTTGAACAGAAAACAGAGATATCGATAGCCAAATAAAATTTATATTTTTATAACCACCGTACAAAATAAACTAGATGAGAAAGAGATATGACACCATCAATTAGGTGCATGTTCTTCTTTTTTTTGTTCTTAAACAGTAAAACATAATTATTAGTAGGAAAATTAGCAAAAATAACATAAAAAAATTATAATCTAAAAACTAACCAAAAAATTCACATCCAATGGTCATGATTTTGCCACATATCCCACTTTTATTTACTTTTTAATTTTTTTTTGGTTGTACACCAAAATAATCCTTATTAGTATTAGTTTTTAGGTTGCGTTACTAGAAACATATTAGTCAATCTCTAAATGTTTTTCAGTCTGAATTTATCAAAGAAAGTATTTTTTTTTGTGTGAATGTAAAGATTGATTTATTTTAGAGCTAATTTACCTAAGAACCAACAAAAAATTAATAATTAAATATATAACCAAAACCCCTAAATCTAAATGTTGTGATTGTGCCACGTAAGATAGTTTTAGCTATAAATTTAATGATAAAAATTTTTTTGGTCTATTGAACAAATTAACCCTTTATTTTACTACAATCCAAAAAAGAATGATTTTTGTTTATATAATTGACCAAATAAAAAAGAAGAAATAATGGAGCAAACATTTTTATAGTAGGAAAAAGGAGGGAGGGAGTAGGTAAAGCGTAGTTGGTAAAGATTCGACGCTACTCTTTTATTTCTAAAGCATATCATACATCGCCACGTCATCGACCTACCATACAGACAGGATAATTCATAATTTGTTATCTTTTTCTTTGTTTTTGGTAATAAAAAATCGGAAAAATCGCATAAAAAATCTTTAAAGTGGTTAACACTTACACTTTAAACTTCCAAAGTATTTTATTATCAATTTAAACCTCCAATATGGCAATATTAACACTTTAAACCTCCAAAATGGTATTTGTGTACGCGCCGTCAAAATTTTTATCAGAACTGTTTATTGTCCGTTTAAAAATGATGATGTGGTT